TCTCAAAGAATATTGTTACATTTATTCCTAAGGGCATAAACGCTAACAATCTCCCACTTGCACTTAAGTGAGTAAATGTGACATGCTACGCATCCCCATAGCCTCGACATGCTTCTCGAAGACCTTGGCCGGCAGGGCCTTCGTGAACGGGTCAGCCATATTGTCCTCCGACGCGATCTTGCATATTTCCACATGCCCTTCTTCAATAAAGCTTCTTATTACGTGATACTTCTTGTCTATGTGCTTACTCATTTTCTGATATCTTGGTTCTTTGGTGTTAGCTATTGCCGCACTGTTATCACAGTATAGTCTCAATGGCTTATCCACACCAGGAACAACTTCAAGATCCATCAAAAATTTGCGGAGCCACACTGCTTCTTTTGAAGCATCACTAGCTGCCACATACTCGGCTTCCATCGTTGAGTCAGAAGTGCAAGTTTGCTTGACACTCCTCCAAACGACGGAACCACCTCCCAGAGTAAACACAGAACCCGAAGTCGATTTCCTAGAATCCAAACAGGATTGAAAATCTGAATCTGTATATCCTAGAGGTGTCAAATCCTCCCCGAAATATACTAGCATATAGTTTCTAGTCCTCCGAAGATACTTGAATACATGCTTGACCGCAACCCAGTGGTTAGGTCCTGGATTCGACTGAAATTGACTTACAATCCTGACCGCATGGCAAATGTCCGATCGAGTACAAAGCATTGCGTACATGAGGCTCCCGACCGCCGAAGCATAAGGCACCTTCGCCATGTATTCTCTTTCTTCAGATGTCTTGGGACAATCACTGTTCGAAAGAGTAATTCTAGACTTAGATGGTTGCCCACCTTTCTTGGAATTCTGCATTGCATACTTCTTGAGAATCTATTCTATGTATGAAGCCTGAGAGAGAGCTATCATTTTGTTCTTTCGATCTCTTATGATTCGAATGCCCAGAATTAGCTTCTCTTCTCCTAAGTCCTTCATGTCAAACTGTTTGGTAAGCCAAACTTTGACTGATGATAAAGCCCCTACATCATTGCCAATGAGTAGAATATCATCAACATATAACAGTAGAAAAACCACTTTCCCATCTTGAATATGCTTATAAACACAAGGTTCATCCATATTCTGTTGGAATCCAAAAGTCTTGACCACTTGGTCAAATCTTTTGTTCCAAGAACGGGAAGCTTGCTTTAATCCATAAATGGATTTCAGCAACTTGCAAACTTTTCCCTCTTGACCCTTAGCCCCAAAGCCTTCTGGTTGTACCATATAGATACTTTCCTCAAGATAGCCGTTCAAGAACGCTGTCTTGACATCCATTTGCCAGATCTCGTAGTCGAGAGCAGCCGCAATGGATAAGAGAATGCGGATGGACTTAAGCATGGCTACAGGCGAAAAGGTTTCCTCGAAGTCGATTCCCTCCTTTTGCGTGTATCCCTTAGCTACCAGTCTAGCCTTATAGGTTTCGACCTTTCCTTCTGCATTTCTCTTTCTCTAGTAGACCCATTTACACCCAATGGGCTTAATCCCATCGG